CCTCTAGTAATATATTTACTGAGAAAAATGTTGACGTGTTCAATACTTATTTTACCCGCTGTATATAGTTTAGAAACTGCAGTGTGAAGTCTTACCCAATAAAGCCTTAGTTTTACTTGAAGGATTGCTCACAGTGTGTGCTCTAAACGACTTATAGCTACTACCACACCAAATTAGAGGTCAACATCAAGTGAACTGACTTACAGGTAGCTGTGGCAGCCATCCTGAATCTGGTCAACTTTAACGGTTAATCTGTTGTTTACCAGTGGTTTGTGTGAGTATCGGCCCTGATATTTTGGTACAAAACATAATGATACTTTTGACCAGTACCGTTGTCTGTGTTGATACTGGTACACTGCCTCAAAGTTCTATCAAATGTGCTAGTTTTCATTTTTTACATTTCTAGTAAAATGTTTGTCTCATGTTTAAGGAATTTGTACAAGTTGAAAGAATTGTTTTATTTACTTTAAAATTAACAGTAAATTTCATGTTGTATATTTCATTTGATTCAGTCAGAATGGCTGTAGGCCTATAAGGAATAAGAGCCACCTTCTTCTCAATAAAATAAATGGTTTTAAAAGTCATTGTGTAATGTTTAAGTTTTAATTCAGTAAGTATTTATGTATCGGTATTTAGTATTGGCGAGTACGCAAACTGCACTTTTCTTAGTTTGAGAAAAGCTGGTATTGGGACAGTGATTACTTTCTAAGAGTTTCAGTGGTTCATGAGATATTTTACAGACACATGAACACACACACATGACTCAAGCAAAAACATGATCACCATCAGCCTCCGGCAGTGGGTGATAATTTAGAAAAAAAAAACCAATTTAACAATATCAAAGAGATTATCTTGTATTAAGCCAACTGGCTGCTGTCGATATCAAAGCTTACGGTTTAGTTTCAGCTCAAACCTGACTTGTTTTCATTCCTGTTTTCTCTGCTCTCACCAGACTGAAGGCAAACCAGAAAATAAAGCAGCTTTGTACCAGCAAAATATCCCCCCAAACAACTCGTCAGGATTTCTCCCTCTCTATGCCAAGCAGCAGACACATTTAGCAATAACATCATTTAAATCACAGCGTTCAAATAGCTTAAAGAAATATATGTTGACTCCAGGATCTGTGAAGTTTTGAAAATGCCAGTAAAAGCAATTGGAACCGTTTGGCGTAAAAACATTGTGAAAACGTCAAGTTTTGAAAGAGGAGACGTCGTTGTGTGGCTTTGGTTTTATTGGCACATTTACAGTGGCAGAACTGCTGGAGGCGCTTACAAATGACAGCAAGGTACAAAAGGACTCTCAGTTCTGTAACATGCCGTTTTCATAAATTATGTTTCTTGTTTTTATATGTTTAGTCAGGACTGTTCGTGTTCGCGTGTTTATTAGTAGCCGTCAGCACCACAAACTGCAAAGGAGTGCTCAGCTTTGCATAAATAGGTTTAATAATTGGAAACTTGGCAATAGTCCAACAAAAAAACCATTTAAAAATATTAATATTCAGATCATTAGTTATAGCAGATTTTGAATAATGACTTATGCATTAATTGGATCATGGTCATCTGAAGTCTCTATTTTGTCTATACCTTATACTGTATATATATATATGAAAGAATTAACAGGATTCTCCTCTTTATGAACTAAATGTTGTTGAAAACAGGTGATATTTTATAACACAGAATACACGTTCTAATACATTTGCCCACTTTCCTTGCTGATTTATGTTTTTCTCATTATCAGCCTCTGCCAACATCTCACGAGTCACAAGATGGATTTTTATTAACCTTTCAGGGAAATGAACATCAACCGTATCGTTACAGCTAACTTAACCTTTAGAGCTAATTTAATTAACGATTTGATGTGGTAGTACTGTAGCTGAAAGTCATTTACAACACAAACGCTGAGCGGGGCATATTATGTTGCAGTATCCATTTGTTTTAAGGCATTAATGCATTTTTGAAGCTCTCGGGCCACATAAAATGCTGTGACGGGCCACATTTGGCCTATGGGCCTGGGATTTGAAACACGTGGACTAAAACAACTAAACTTTGTCATTTCTCAACATAAGATCTTAGTCCAAAACTCTGGTGGGCAATATGTGATCTTTAACAGAATGCTATTCTGTTGTTGTTATTCATGGGTCTTTATGTGTGAACAAAATAAGTGAGATTATAATCTGTAGGACAGCGTTTTTTTAATGTTTACTCCACCTTTAGAAGAAGCAAAGTAAACTCAAGATCAGAATGTGTCTTTGTATTAAGACATATGGAAAAGGTATACTGTTAAATCTATAAAATCCTACCTTCAGTGAAACAAAGATGCTATAAAACCTAACAAACAGATTTAAAGCTGCTCTCCACTCTTTGAAGCACTCCTACTGTTGCTGCTTTTTTATTATTTTCCTAAGTCAAGCTGCAATGCTGCAAATGTCTCCTGTAACCTCGGGTAAAATGGGAAGCAGGAACGTCAGCCCCGTTCAGAGGTGTTCATACGTCTCTCTCCTAACATTTCAGTTATTGTTGCAAATGTTCCAGATATTAAATGAGAACCAGCATAAATACGCGTTGATGCTGTCAACAGCTCAGTTTTATTAGCCGGCACCAGAGCTTCGTCTGACATGTACCAGGCAGTGTTTGTTTTCTTATTTATTTATTTTCCAGAATGACGCTTTTTATTTTTTTTTCATTTTCCTCTGAACTGACAGAAGAGTTATTACTTGGCTAGAGGAGAGAAAGAAAAGTCACCTTTATAATGTCTTATTCACACCAAAAACAGCTTACTTTCAATATTTAAGAGTGCTCCATAAAATTCAGCTGACATTGTTTCTGGGGTGCTTCAGTATTAACTGTGCCCTTTGGTGTAAAGCAGGGGTGTCCAAACTTTTTTTAAGTGAAGGCCAAATACAGGAAAATAAAGAAAGGGCCGGGCCACACACTAGAAGTGACATATTGATACATCAATAATGTGTGTATTTCTAACTCACCTATTGGGCATAAGGTCACTGTGGTTTGTGATTTGTGATTTGTGATTTTTATCCATTTGTAGGCATTTTTGCAAAAATATTACCCGCGAGGGGCTGCACCTGCTTGCAGGTATAAAACCCAGTGCTGAGCTTCCAGGACCGGTTCCACCTGACTGGATCTCTTTCCTTTTATTCCCCTGCATCAGCACCAGCAGCCCCGTGCTGAAATTCAGCCGTTTCACCAACCGGAGCTCACCCGCCGACATTTGACCACCTATATCTCGGCAGGGGAAYGTCCCAGGAACTTGCAACCACCACCAGGTTGTAGCGCAGGTCCAGAGCTTTAAAATAAGTCCTTTCTGCCCGGATCAGATGCTCAGAGCCGGAGCTAGAGGCTCTGCAGTAAATGGGCTGCTTCTTGTGCGGGCCATATTAAATTACATTTTCAGAATTTGCTGCGGGCCAATTAAAACAGTACTGCGGCCCGTGGGCCGTAGTTTGGACACCCCTGGTGTGGCTTTRCTTCTCTGCAAACGTAAAGCTTTAAGATAAAATGAGCAAATTAATTAGTATAAAAACAGCTTTTAAATAATTTTTAGAGCGTTTGGCAAAACAAAAATGTAAAAAGGATGGGATCCAAGTGCAAAAGGTAAAACAACCTTTTTACTGTATTTGGCAACAAGTAATAAAACAATGCAGTCTATTTCTGTCCTGTTTATTGTATTGTGAAACAAAAAAGATTTTTATCCCTAACACTTTTAAAACTCAGAGTATTTTGGATTTGTTTTGTTTTTTTTGTGTGTGTGTGTGTGTGCTGCTGTCTTGGCCAGGTCACTCTTGGAAAAGAGGTTTTAAATCTCAATGAGTCAATTTCCTGGTTAAATAAAGGATATTACTACATCTAAATCAGGTCATAATAGAATAATTGAGCTGCTAAACTAACCCAATGTCAGCTAAAGACTCCTGTTTTGAACTTAAATCCCCCAAAAATCTACAATTTTGCCAAAAACAAAACAAAGTTTTACAGTAAATCATCAAATGTGCTCAATTTTCAGTTGTACTTGATGTTATTTGTCCAATTTTTTCTACATTTTACAATATTTTCTATTTCTGTCACCAAATAAAATAAAACTTTTCATGAAATGTACCCTTTTCTTCTTTTTTGCAGCTCTGGTGACGGGTACAGTGGAAGACGAGGTCCGCTGCCCACTCGGCGAGTTCCCGTGTGGCAACATCAGCCAATGCCTTCCTCAGAACCTGCAGTGTGACGGACGCACCGATTGTCCCAATGGAGCTGACGAGCTGCTCTGTGGTAAGTGCAAAAATAATTTATAGACTTCAAGTGCCCGTGAAGCAAAAAAATGTTTTAAAAAAGGGAATAATTTAATGTTGTGAACCTTATTCCACCAGGTATCAGCTTCTAAATGACATCCAGTAGGTTAACTCAGAAATGCTATTAGTGCAGCCGACACAGATATTGGGTTTTTATTAATGCGACAGAATGCAAACATGAGCTTAAAACCACTACAGCCCACATAAAGTCTGTTGGGCTTCAGGCTCCAGATTATTTCAGCTCAGATTCTAGTTAATCTTTTAACATAACAGAAAGAAGAAATTAATTAGTTTTCATTTGACTGTTCCTTATTGTTCTCCCACAACTCCAGCCGCTCTTCACKGCAGCAGAGTTATCTACCGTATTTACTCAAGTATAATACGTAAAATTAAATCCATAAAATCATCCATAAAGTTGGGGGGTAGTACTATCCTCGGATAAATATTTTTACTTCTGTATTTTAACTGAAATATCGACTTCATTCACAAAATGCCTGAGTCCGGAAATGAGACCGCGTCATTGAAGCGAGCTCACCTCTGACACTCCTCTGTGCTTCAGAGCGAGATAATAACAG